GGTACATACTGACCGACGTTTCAGAGGAGCTTACTACCTACATCCTCGTCCTGACAATACCGACTCCACAGGGCAGGACACTTCTTGAGAAGCTTACGGTCGCTCAGATAATAGAAATTACTGTGTTCACAAGTTACTGATTGTTAAAGCTGGTGGTATATGTAGTTAAACCAGTAAAAAAATATATATATATACTGCATGTATACAAACAAAACTGTTTATACTTTGAAGGACACTAATGCCAAACGCGTTTCGACCTCAAGAGATCACAATCAGTGGTAGAAAACAAGTTAATTCGTTGTAGTTCTCAGTCACAGACGACTCAAGCGCGTCTCACCGTAGACCAACAACGGCAATCATACCAGTGGACATACGAAAAAGCGAAGTGCTCAATATATTACACCAACTCCCGTGAGGTGTTACATAAACATGTTTTTTTTTGTAAAATACACGCCTTTTATGCTCTATTAAAAACCATAATCTTTTTGATTTGCATTATATGAATTAACTTGTTTTCTACCACTGATCGTGATCTCTTGAGGTCGAAACGCGTTTGGCATTAGTGTCCTTCAAAGTGTAAACAGTTTTGTTTGTATGCACGTTTTATATTTCAATACATTACACGGTATGCAAGGTTTAAGAAAATACTGTTTTGCAAAGGACTGGAATGAACGGTTTGTCAAACTATGACGGAGATAGAGTCCCATCTCCGAAACGTCGTTTTACGTTTTATATTTACTAGACGATGGATAATATCCAAGAAAATTTTTATTCAATTCAACTATTTGTCGTTTTATACTTAACTTCCTGGTTGGATTAATATATAAGTCCCAAGTTAAAATACTCGCTAAGAGACAAATTTCCGAATTGAATACGCGTAATTTGACATTGACGTAAGGAAATATTAAAACGCATCTTTAGGAAATAAAATAAGCGCCTTGCTCATGTGAACGAGGTACTTAACTTTCAAATTCCATAAAAGACGGAGCATTTCTTGATTAGCTGAGGTGCTATTAGCTTCTCGAGAATAATTATGCTCCACGGAGTTCACAAAGATGACGCAGTTCAACTTAGTTGTTCTCGTTCTCATAAATAAACAAGTTACGTCACTTTTAACAGCAAGAACACCGCAAAAATTAATTTTTCGTGACTGATAAGGACTGAACTCGAAGGTCGGATGTGGCCCTCGGACCGGGGAAGGTCCTTGGCAGAAGAAAACTACGGCGAACCAGCCACCCCTCTGCCGTTAAAGCACATCAAGACATCGTACGAGAGCAACACCAACTCCATTTGATTCAGAGTTCTGAAATTGTTCGGTCGCGAACGTATTTGAAAATATCACCTATCATTCATCATTCATGCGAAACACGGTCAATAAAGAACCCAAGATGTATACAAATAAAGGAAGGAATGAAGGAAGGGGATAGGTCGGCTATGCCACTGACAGATTCTTATCCTTTTATGCCTTCTTTACACACGATACGTTAAACTAAATCATAGTACGAACATCGTATCTGTCTCTCGTACATACAGTATTTCGGCTATTTAAATGTTTGTTAATGATAAATCATTACAATTCCCTATCTGAAATCAAGTGTGTCATCAGTTTATGCACACATCCTGTCATAAATGGGGAATATTAACTTACAACTAAATAAAATTCTTGAAAATTTCAAAACTACCGGCAAAAGCTCATATTTTAAACATCGGCTACAAAATGTAGGTAATACGAAGTCTGTACCAGAAATGTAACATTCTCACTTTCGAAACTAAGCAGCACACGAAACTAGGCTGGGCACATGCAGGTAATTATGACAATAAAACTCAAGAGTGGGGACAAAAGTGACTACAACTGGAACCAAAATATATACCCTCTGCATATCAAACCCAAATTAAGTAAAACCATCAACGAGCCACATCTACATCCTGCAAAATTACAAAGAAAATATTTTTCAGAATGAGGGGTGGGAGCCAATCCAAATATGTTTACCGAACCCCTTCTTTCAGAGCACCGAAGAAATGACAAGAGTACTCATGCTTCAAGACCCCACATTCTGCATGTTCCAACTCTATTAACCGGAAAACTGACAGCCACCAAAAATCCACGTTTTGTCATAAAAAGCACCACGGGTACAACACAGCATTCAAAGAAGTAAGCTTCTGCAAATGCACACACGCATAATTGTGAACATCCAGCTACAGAAAAGTATCTCAATTTGTTATGTCATTCCTGTACAGCTTGGCGATGTTTTCCTCATTGCATAAAAGGTGTTAGTACTCAGATATGATCAAAAAATAGCAAATACGTTTTAAAGTTTCGGAGTCCTAAACCGCTCACTTACTTCGTCCTTCATATATCCTAATATTTTCCTAACGCCCCTATTTTGAAACACCCGTAATTTAACTGATTCCCTAAAAATAAGAATGTTTCACATACATAAAAAATCAATGAACAAACATGACTAATGTATCCCAGTTTCAGCCTACATAATATTCTCCTTCTAGTAATTTACTTCCAGGATGTCAAAGTGGTACATATTCAACTACTACGAAAGGCGTAGAGCCTGGTACGACCTGCTTGCAGTTCT